GGTTATATTGCCCGACCCTGACCTAGACTCAGGACCCTGTCCCGTCTCTATCCCTTTTCGGTTATATCACAGGACCCTGACCTAGGTCTTGTACTATACTGGGCCCAGCCTCGACCAGACGCATTCCTTTACAGTCTCCTCATACCTCCCCACTTTGGTCGGTTACCTTTCCCTTCCTAATACGGTCGGTACCCCATAGTATATAAGGAGGCCTGTAGTCGGTAGAGGCTCCCCACTTCTGTTCTCCTCTTCGTTACCTCCTGTATCCCTATATCCCTCAATCTAGGGACTTGTGCAATACTCTCTCCCCGTGTGCTACACCGCGTACTTGGATAAGTCCGCGTGATAAGTCTGGATAGACTTGTGTTAGTACTTCAGCGTAACAGGCTCCGCTCATTGATTAGTTAGTCTACCTGAATGCCCGTGCGGGCTCCAGGGCAAGTATGCAGGCGCTCGCTGTCGCGTACAGCATCCCAACAGCATTCTTCGCTTGGGGGTGAGTCTTGCGTAATGCCTTCAGTTCCACAATAGCACCTCTTACGCTTACTGAATGTGACAATGTACAGGCTGATAACATTTTTCATTGCCATCGCCTGGCTTTGCCTCCATGACACGAGCTCCGTCACGCGGATCATTGTCTGTATCGCCATCGCCGTTTCCGCCTTCTTGGCCTGGATCACACAATGGCAAGCCAAGAATTTGCTCATCCCGCTCTCGGACAAGATGAGGACGATGCACGCAGTAGTTCAGAGGGCTCCGAATCGGATGGCTGCCGGCCTCCGAAACATCTCTCTTTGCGCCAGGATGGCCATTCCATCTATGTCTCTACTCCCCATTAGGAGGAAGCCCAAAGCCTTAAGTTCATATCTATCGGATACCCCCGGCCATATTGATCTTCAGGCCGTGTCATCAGGCTCGGGGAGGAGATACAATCTGGCATGATCTGCCGCCTGATGACAGTGCGATCAGGTCCGGTCACTTCGCTACTATAGTGGGACGCCCCCATTATGCTTTCTGTATGATTGTACTTGTCCTCATCAGCTTCACTTTCGCCCGCTCGGAGTACTCTTTGACATGCACGACCTCTGTATACGCCCACACTATGCCGAACTTATTACGTTACACAGCTACACTTAGCAAGGAAGCTGGACACGCCATGAATCGTAACGATGCTTCAATCTCTCACTTGAGTCAACTGAAGCCAACTGTAACGGTCAAGACCGTTGCCGATCCTCATGGCCAATTTAGGTAGCCGGATTTCCTTTTGTAGCTTTGTGTTCGATCGTGTGCGCTTCTCGGACTCTTGGTTCGTGTCATGTTTGTATCCGCTCGTTTTATTCTCCTAGCCCCTAGTACAGTACAGGTTATAGTCTACGTGTTGTACGCATGTACCCCTCGTGGAATCAACGCCGGTTCTGGGGCCTGTCCTCACTCTCGCTTCTCTCTCTCTCTCTTGTGTCTGCACTCGCCCCATTACAGTTTGATTCCACCACCAACTATTCGGTTTCGCTCCGAATACCTAGGCAACAACGTACGCGTTACTACGCTGCGACTCATCCCCCTGCGTGTGTCTCTACGCCGCGAACATCTTCACCAATTCCTTAGGCGACATCTCGCTTGCCTGGCAACATGAATTCTTATGGCACAGACCCGTACTTCGCGTCCACCGCAGACGTCTTCCCTTCTGACGTGGACTACCAGCAGACATCCCAGGATGTCCCCCCGCAAAACCATGTGTCAGGACCAGACACTGCTCAGCAACAGCAGGGGCCAGTCCAGCCCACCGCTGAGGAACAGTTACGTGAGTTATTACTTGCAGTCTTGAATATCAACCAGAACTCGGAGGCTATCCGTATGCATACGATGCAGCAGGATGCGGCAATACAACAGTTGCACACTGAAATCACTGAAGGCAATGCGCGCGCTGTTCGTATTGTTCGGGAAGTGCTCGATCAGGCCTCTGCCGCATTCTGAACTTTGCCTACAGGCTCTGTTGGCCCCGGACGTCCCCCTGCTATTAAGTTGCGGGAGCCGCATAAGTTTGGCGGCAAATCCGACGATGTCAAAAATTTCATCCGTGACGTCTCGGTATGTATTCGTCTTCAGGGGTCAGCATTCCAGACCGACAGAAACAAGGTCGAATATCTCTCCATGTATCTGGAGAAGGGCAGTGCGCTGGCGTGGTACAACGCCACGATTCGTCAAAAGCCCCACTTGCTCAATAATTGGCAAGGGTTCACGGCTGAGTTCCTGAGTCGTTTCCAGACGACGGACTTGGTTTCTAAGTACACGCACAAAGCGGAGGCCCTGACTCACAAGGGACCCGTCGCTGAGCTGGTGAACCAGTTTCAGGAGTGCATGGCATATGTGAACTGGTCTGAGCAGACGAAAATCGTCATGTTCAATCGTAAGCTGAAGCCCGACCTTCGGCGCGCCCTCTTGGCGTCGCCAAAGAAGGATACATTTGACGAATGGGCCCCTATTGTCATTGACAAAGACAACGAGTTACACGAGCTCGAAGTGGACCTTCGGCGCGAGGAGAAAATCTCCAAGCCCAAGGCAACTGGGAATGGGCGACCCTCGGATCGCTCGTACAGTTCCCCGAGTTGGCGATCGAGCGATCGTCCAGGTACTTCCAACTCTCCCTCCCAATCAGGGACTTCCGCTCCCGACACCAACGGCCCTACTCCTATGGAGGTAGACGCCCTGCGTCAGGCTCCTCGGGGCCCGCTCACACCGGAGGAGAGGGCTTACCGCGACGCTAATGGCCTCTGCCGCTATTGCGGAGGCAAGCACAAGATCGCTGAATGCCCGAAGATTCAGAAAAAACAGGCTGCCGAGAATAAGGTTAGCAAGGCCGATCCCTCTAAGGGAAAAGCCTGACGGGTGTCTCAGTCGTCCCGGAGACTCCCATATCGCGAGGGACTGCAGCCCAAGTGACGGAGTCTTCATCTTCTCGGTCTCATGTTCGGTTTAATAATGGGTCTTATCGGTTACGTTCCGTCTCCTTCGCTCCGGTGTTCCGTCTTTCATCTCATGTCCATTCGGACGTCACTTCACCCGATCATTTCTTTGTTTCAGTCTCTCTCCAGTTCCCTAACAAAAAACCCTTGCGCACTATTGCGTTGATTGACTGTGGCGCAAACAAGTCCTGTATTTCTCTCTCATTTGCCAATAGGCACAGTCTCCCGCGTCATCTAAAGGACGAACCTATCCCTATCCTTGCTGTTGACAATCATCCTATCGCGTCGGGCCTCGTCGAATACGACGTAGTAACCTCGCTCTCAGTCCAATCTCACTCCGAAAATATCTCTCTTGGAGTCGTCGAGGTCCCGTATCCAGTCATCTTGGGACTCGACTGGCTGCAACGTCACAACCCTGCCATTGACTGGGTGCGGCGTGAACTCGCGTTTTCATGTTGCGGAGACAATTTCACAGCACATGCGCTCTTAAAGCCTGTTTCCGTCTCTACTAATGCCCCCCAGACACAACCTTCAACGCGCTTTTGCGCTGCTACTACACCAGGCCTCGGACTGGGGATCTCAACGTCCCCTCTATCATCTCCCTCTTCGCTCTTGAGGCGTTCTGATCAAACAACCTCCGCACCACCTTCAGAGCGCGTTTCGGTGCTGTCCGCGACCGCAATCCCCTGGCATGCCCCTGGCATATCTACCCAAATCGGCTCCGGTCGAACCGGGTCTGTCTTTTCAATTGACAGCGTTCTCAGACCCCTGCTACACCCACTCGGGGAAGCTCGCCTCGGCCGAGGTCGAACTGAGCTGTCTCCTACCCCCGCTCCATCGCACAACAGCATGAACACTTCGTTCGGGCGCGCTCCTACAGAGGAATCGACGTTGCCCGTCGACATCAAGTTCGTCAATTCATCTCGATTCCGCAAGTATGCGCGAAACGGAGAGACCGCAAAGTTCTACTACCATCCCAAGAGGACCCATGGCTATCGCGTCGCCTCCATGCACCTCCACTCCGATGGCACGCCACCCGACAATCCCACATCGCCTACGCCTTCGCCTACACTGCCTCCGGAGCCACCCCCGGACGATCCCTCTCACCACATCCCCGACAAATATAAACAATACGCTCGCGTCTTCTCCCCAGTAGAAGTCGAGCAGCTGCCTCCGCACCGACCAGGTTTCGATGCCGCAATCGAACTGGAGGAGGGCAAAACACCGCCGTACGGTCCCCTCTACCACCTCTCACAGGACGAGTGGGCCCACGTCTTTGATTATATCGAGAGCAACCTCAAGAAGGGCTTCATTCGGCGTTCCTCCTCTTCCGCTGCTGCACCCATCCTCTTCGTGCGCAAGAAATCTGGCGAACTCCGCCTATGCGTCGACTACCGGGGGCTCAATGCAATCACACGAAAGAACCGATACCCGCTGCCACTCATCAACGATCTACTCGACCGCGTTCAAGGTTGCACGGTCTTCACGACCTTGGACCTCAAAAACGCGTTCAATCTCATTCGCATTCGCGAAGGAGACGAGTGGAAGACCGCATTCCGCGCTCATCTGGGCCTATTCGAGTACCTCGTCATGCCCTTTGGTCTCACTAACGCACCGGGAACCTTTCAGGCCTACATCCAGGACGCTCTTCGTGACCTCCTCGATGTCGTGTGCGTCGTGTACATCGACGACATACTCATTTTCTCTCGCACCCAGGAGGAACATGACCGCCACGTCGCGATGGTCCTCGAACGACTCGAAAAGGCGGGTCTCTTCGCCAATGCGAAGAAATGCGCATTTGACTGCTCCGAGGTCGAGTACGTTGGCTATCTCATCAACGCCGACGGTATTCGCATGGACCCCAAGAAGCTCGACACTGTCATCAATTGGCCAACACCGAAGTCCATCAAGGATGTTCAATCATTCCTCGGATTCACAAACTTCTACTGCCGTTTCATCAACAACTACGCCAGGATGGCGTTACCCCTCCATGCACTCACCAAGAAGGCTACTCGCGAAGTCCCTTTCGGGTGGACACCGGAGGCGAACTCAGCGTTCAAGGCCCTGCGCACTGCCATCCTCTCCGAGCCCGTCCTTTTCCATTTCAACCCCACACTGCCCTCTACGCTCTCTACGGACGCTTCAGACTTCGCTATTGCGGGCGTCCTGCACCAGCCCGACGGCTTGGGCCACTTGCACCCTGTCGCGTACTTCTCGTGCAAGCTCTCCCCAGCCGAAATCAATTACCAAGTATATGACAAAGAGCTGCTCGCCATGGTCGAATCTTTCCGCGCAATGCGAGCATGGCTCATAGGTACGGAAGTTCCGGTCTCAGTTGTTTCTGACCACAAAAATCTAGAATATTTCATGACGTCCCGGACCCTCAATCGCCGTCAAGCGCGATGGTCTATTTTCCTCTCCGAGTTCAATTTTCGTCTCACCTACGCCCCGGGTTTGAAGAACCCTGCAGACCCACCGTCTCGACGTGTGGACTTCGCACCTCAGAAGGGGGATGAGGTGGTCGAAGAAAACTTCAAGGCCCTGCTGACTCCGGCGCACACAGAGCGTCTGCAACATAGACCTCCAACCACCTGGCCTCAACAGGCTTCTTCCTTCGCTGCCATTCGCGCTATCGCCGCCGTCCCACTCGTTGCTACCGCACTCACCACGCTCATGGTAGATCGTTCGGACTTCAAGAAACGTCTTAGTGACGCAGTCCAATCGGACCCTGAGTGGTGCGAAGGACTTTCACACGAGGACTCCGCCTTCCATGCAGAAGGGAACATTGTGTATCATGACAGCCGCCTCTACGTCCCGCGCTCGCTCCGCGCTGAGGTGACACACTTCTATCACGACTCTGCACGCTCCGGACACTTCGGTCGTGACCATACCACCGAGCTCATCAGGCGTGACTTCTCCTGGCCTGGTATTCGCACCTACGTATGTCAGTACGTGCGGGCGTGCGACACGTGCAGCCGCATCAAGACACCTCGACACAAGCCTTTCGGCCTACTCCGCCCGCTCGAGATCCCCGACCGCCCGTGGAAGGGCATCACGATGGACATGATCGTGAAACTCCCCGACTCACATGGTTACGACTCGATCTGGGTCGTTTGCGACCGCCTAACACGCTACGCTCACTTTATCCCTTGCCAGGAGTCAATGGACGCACCGGCCTTGGCCTGGCTTTTCTTTGATAGGATTTTTCGCCACCACGGCATGCCTGAGTCCATCATCTCGGACAGAGGGCCCGTTTTTGTCTCTCAGTTTTGGAATGCGCTTACTACCTTGCTTCGTACAGAACTCAAATTTTCTACAGCTTATCACCCACAGACCGACGGCCTCACCGAGCGCACCAACCAGACGCTCGAGTGCTACCTTAGAGCCTACGTATCGTCGCAACAGGACGATTGGGTCGACTATCTGCCTCTCGCCGAGTTTGCGTTCAACAACCACGCAAGCTCATCGACGGGCATGACGCCTTACTATGCCAACCTCGGCTATCACCCCACGTTCAACCCTCTCATCACTCCGCCAACCTCGGTCCCCGCCGCAAACGACATGGCTCAACGCCTCGCCCGACTGCACGAGGACCTCCGTGCCCAGCTCCGCGCTTCGCAAGACCGTCAATCTCGGTACTACAACCAGCGCGTCCAGGACACTCCGAAGTTCCAGCCTGGTCAGCTCGTCTGGCTGCTCCGCCGACACATCAAGACTTCACGTCCATCCGACAAGTTGGATCATCGACGCCTCGGACCTTTCCCTATCGACCACGCTGTCTCCGACCTCGCATACAAGCTCCGCCTTCCCACCTACCTTTCTCGCCTCCATCCTGTCTTCCATGTCTCCCTCCTCGAACCTTACCACAACTCCTCCGCTTCACAACCTCATTCTGAACCCAACCCCTTCCAGCTCGCTGACGACACTCCCTCTCCCGACATCCACTCCATCCTCGACTGTCGCAAAATTGGCCAACGCTACGAGTACCTCATCCACTGGAGTAACCTCTCTCACGAGGAGGACTCCTGGGTACCGCTTTCCGGCATACCATCCACCGCGAACGAGCTGCTCGAACGTTTCCACCGCCGCCACACTCGAGCGCCACGCCCGCCGTCACCCCTTCTTCTTCGCCCACCAAACTCCACCGCTTCCATGACAGAAGACACTAATTCTATTATCCGAGGATCGGCAACGGTCTCGACCGTTACACCACCTCCTCCTCAAGGGAGTGCGCGTGCGGGGACGACCCAGTAATTCCAGCCGGGTGGCTCTCACGGGTCATTGTTGAACAGGCGCTGGTTTACACAGCTTGCCTAATACAGCCGTCACAAGATATGGAACGGCACAGCCGGTTACTGCAATAACCGAGGCTGTACTACTCATGTGGTACACACACAGCTTTGCTGTGTACGCACTGCTTCTCTGTGCGACTGTGCATCCTGGGAAGGTACTGTATAGTACTACGTAGCCACAGATGTACAGTAGTATATATAGGGGACCTCTGTACCCCCAATCTACAGTTCAGTTCACTCGAACATCTCCTCTCATCGCTCTAACAAGCCTCTTACAACCAACAACCCTTCTAGGTGAGTTGCAGGCTATCCGCTGTCGTTGCCACCCGTGGGAGAGGCCTTCGCCCCCCGGGTTCAACAGTCATACCTCACGGGTGGTTTCGAGACACGCTTGGAGCGGAGCGTGGTCTGCGACGGCGGTTCGTACCAGACACGCGGGTTCACACGTTCTGGCTTGGGAGACGGAGGGCGCGGAGCAGCAGGCGGGATGCGAGGTGCGGGTGGAGCGGCAGGAGGAGCAGCAGCGGGTTCGGAGGATGCGGAGGATGCGGAGGATGCGGGCAGTGCAGCGGGGACCTGTGAAGAAGTGGAAGATGGCCAATTTAGGTAGCCGGATTTCCTTTTGTAGCTTTGTGTTCGATCGTGCGTGCTTCTCGGACTCTTGGTTCGTGTCATGTTTGTATCTGCTCGTTTTATTCTCCTAGCCCCTAGTACAGTACAGGTTATAGTCTACGTGTTGTACGCATGTACCCCTCGTGGAATCAACGCCGGTTCTGGGGCCTGTCCTCACTCTCGCTTCTCTCTCTCTCTCTTGTGTCTGCACTCGCCCCATTACACCAACTCCACCAAATCGAGTGCCTCTGTATTGGTCAATATAGTAGTATCCCTCAATGGTGGTTTGCTCCTTCACGTTAGTAGGTTGTTAGTTGGTCAGATGTTTCTGTTGTCGATACAGATGTGTACGTGCGGGCACCTAAGTTCTTCCTTACCTCACAACAGTATTCTTGCCTCAACGCGTTAACACACCCAATTGTTGGAATGGGGTCGGCAGCAGCTAGCGAGGACCTGTACTCAGTCTGGTGCACAAAGTGTCAACAGCTATTATATTTACCTAGCGAGGACCTGTACTATAGGATACATATTAGCTAGGCAGTGAAGGAATGTGTGAGTGAAGCTTTACCTCAGTCTGGTGCACGAAGTGTCAACAGCTGAGGAAAAGCCGGTATGAAGGAAATTCTCAAAAGGGAGTGACCGGGATAGTAAACACGAACAAACAAGTCCGAAAGCGCCCAACCCATGCCGAACGGCAACGTAGTGGTACCAGGTCGTTGCCTGACGCCCGTAGCTCGGCATGGAGGTCGCGGGTACTACGGCGTCCGATGTAAGTAAGTACCGTATTCCAACACCAATTTTACTCCGGTTGCCTTGATTAAGGCGGCGTTGATTACATCTTCAAGGAGAACAAACTCTGTGTTCATCTGGCGTACGATAAGCGGTTACATATTTATCTGGGCCCCTAGGTCGCTCTAGAGGCTATCGTTTGATAGATAATTTGCTCTTTCTTGGACGGAATCGGGCCCAGAGAGTTGCATTGAAAATATGCATCTAACGGATCCTACTCGCCCGACCCCGTCAGCCGTTCTTGAGAACCGGATACCCTCTCCTTCCCAGGAGAGCAGGTATCTGTATCTTGGGAACGGCTGGGTTTTGATTTAGTAGATGAGACGTACCTACGGTTGGGCTCTTCGGCTGCATGGAGCGTTGACAGGGAATACTCAGTGGAGATGCCTGCAGTTGGGGTCAATTCGAGGACACCTGATCGGTCAGATCGAACAATGTGAACCTCGAACCTCACTGCTCAGGCTCTCCACCAGAGAGCTTCAAATCCTGAGAGCCACTTTTCATTGCAGCACTGGGTCAATGCTGACTAAACTCACCATTTCGTTCAGCGACAGTGAGTCGTCCACAAGCCGCGAGCCGACCTGAAGTCAATTCAATGAGATGTAGTGTCAGTGAACTTCCGGAGTACGACTAGGAGTCGGGCGATTCGTCCACCCGAAGAAGGTACGATGACGTTATCTTTGGGGCTAGAGCCGACTCTGAAGGCGCAATCGAACACGTTCACGCCTCCTAAATGAATCGGGAGGAAACCCATGATTATGTTGAATTCAGAGGGTGACTGAATTTTAAGCAGAATCGTCCGAGCCTTGATTTAGGTTTGGACAGGCTCACCTGCGGCCTTGCAGAAGTCCGAATGGTGCGAATGGGCGCCACTCGACATAGCCTATGCCTGGTGTCGCAGAACATTGGCACCTTGGGCCAAGTGTCTCCCTGTGCTGATGACTTGTGCAAGGTAAGGTGAAGCGTGTATACAGAAAGTGCAGTGCGCAGGCGCAGAACGCACCGAGGTTCGCCGCCCACTCTCAATCTGCTTCACGCATGATATACTGTATGCCCAGCTGTCGAATAATTGCTGTCTTCCTGTTATTGATTGCTTGTCAGCCTTAAGCACTTCAGACAGACAGAACTGCCCTTGGATTACAGAAAACCCGAGTATTAGGAAAAGAAAAAGAAGTAGTAGCCTTACACTTGCCATTAGTACATCATGATCAGTCATTTGGTGGCAGCTCTTGGGCTCGTTTGGGCTGTAATTGCATCGTCCACCTGGCCGCTATGACCTGCATGGTGTTGTGAGTGTCCGCAGACTTTCGCGACGCCGTCCTGCTGCGATTGCGAGGACATCGAGGTCTTTTTTTATTATTATTATTAGATTCTTGTCTTAGACCAAACGCGCATACAAGTACAGAACAGGTACAGTACACGTGTAAGTAAGCGTCTTATCCCAGTTTGTGAGGACATCGAGGTCACCGTTGCACTGTCGGCGCCGGCTGAGAGACTGGCTCAATATTTGTGCGCTCGGCGTTGGCCGGTGTGATCGACGACGAATTGGTCACCGTTGCTGCCGGCGCGTACACTTTGGGACCTTCGTCTTCAAGTTCGCCGTCTGTGGCGACAGCCTCCACTCTCGAGTCCTCAGGCACCCTTAATGCGACGCGTATTATCAAACTGCTTTCGACATATTCAATCCTTCTCTATCACAAGGGACTTCCTATTGTTCAAGCAATCCGCAACCGCACTGCGCCGATCGGCTGAACGTTGTGCGGAGCCTGTCACGACCGTACTTTTCGTCGGGTTCAGGAGGTTCTGAGGCGACCGTGGTTTCTCAAGGAATCTGGGATTGGTTACATCTAGAGGTATTGGGGATTGGTAACATCCAGGTACGACTGCTGTGTCTGCGCTCTGCGCGCCATTCACAGTTTCCTGCCTCAGTTCCAAGGCTGCAATCACAGACCCTGCAAATCTACGATATGGCTCAACCCGGGTACTCGTCGTATTACCCACAAACGACATATGGGTATCCCACCCCTACATCTCAGTCTCAGGAGGCGCAGGCGTATGACCCAAGGGTGCAGCCGCAATACCTTGCACACCATCAGCAGCCATCGTACGGCCAGTCCCCTTCGCAGCAGCAGCCTCACATGTACACACAAGCTCCGCCTCCCGCTCAACGTCCACCTTCGAGGATAAATCCTATACCTTATGCCGCTGGTCAATCACCTGGCCCAATGTCCGCTCCGCTTCCAGCGCAACAATATGGCCAATATCATCCTCCTCCTCCTTCCTCCCCCCAACCTCATTATCAGCTCTCGTCTACCAATCCGTATCCTTCTCCAGTATCGCCGGCGGCACCTCAGAACGGTACTCCGCAACCCGCCAGACGGCCGCTCCCTTCTCCTCGCGGTCTTCCTGCCACTCCCGGTAACGGTCCGAGCCCCTCGCCACAGCCGACCCCTTCTCCTGTTCCGTATTTCGGCACGCACCGACCTACACACTCTGTCCCGAGCGTATTTCCTCCACAATCTCAGCCGAACGCAATCAGCCGAATTCCCTCTGGGCAGGAGCCGCCACATTCGGCAAGTGTACATCCTCCGACGTCTGCTGGTTCACCTCGCCCTTTACCGCTACCTCGCTCTGCGGGCACGTTTGACCTGGCATCTGCCCAAAGTCAGAGCCAAAGCCAGTCCATCCCGCAGAGCCCTCCGAAGCGTGCCCTCCCTGCGCCGGTCCCGTCCTACACTTCGGATCAGCCACCCGCAAGGAATTCCGAGCCACTGCCGGCGCCCGGACAGAAGTTCGTTCCGTTGTGGAAGCGTGCATTGCCCGAGCCCGGAGGTTCTGCGATCGTGGGCTCCTCGCAACCGTCCCAGGCACAACCACAGATTGAGCGGAGGAGCACCGTGTCTGGCGGCGCACGTCCCCTCCCTTCTCCTGGCTCAGCAAACAATGCTGTCGGTGTGTCCCGGGATGCGTTCGCGCGTGCTGGTACGTTACCCCCACACCTCCAGCTGCAGAACTTGCCTTCATCGCAACCGCCGCCGCAACCACCTCAACCTCCACCTCGCGCGCCTGTCTCTGCTGCTGATCCCACTAACAACTCGCCCCCGGTGTCGCGATTCCTCTCTCGTGAGCGGTCGCGCACGCTTCCGCTTCCAACGGCTCCACCGAGCTACCCCCCTCCCGTACATCCACCTTCCCCGAACACTTTGGTCGGGCAGCCCATCTCAGAATCCCCAATCAGCTCGGATGACGAGGAACTGACGAACGCCCTGCTCGAGCGCCTTCCCCGCACTCCGCAGCGCTCACCGAGTCCCCGCTTTGGAATCCGCGATCTCCCCTCCCGCACTAATCCCAATCCCAATCCCAATGGCGCAAGTGGAACGGACACCACCACGCCCACGCGACGCGAGCTCCCGTCCCCAGAACCCCCGTCGTCACCCAATCCGGGCGGACAGCAGGCCGAGACGAGCTTGGCGCTGCGCATGGCCGCGACGTCGATCCGGTCCACGTCGCCGTCCCCGGCTTTCCGCCCGACACACGGACATTCTCAGTCTCTGTCTATCGCGGGCGCGTCGCGTCCGATGCCGCAACCGCCCGTGCAGCAGCAACGGCCACAATCGCAGCAACAGCCGAACGGGGGTTGGCCAGCAGCGCTCCCACCTCTCCCCCGCGCGCCTGTCAGTCCGAATCCAAATCCGAGCCCGAACCCCATCTCCCCGCCACCGTCGTCGACGCAGGCCGCGGTCTCCCAAATGCAGGCGCGCGCGCTGCCTCATACGCCCGCGCGCTCTAACACGACTGCGGGAACGGGCGCGTTGCCGATCTCGTCGCCCTTCCCGCGCTCCTCCCCGCGGAAGGTGCATCTGGACCTAAGTCTGGATGATGCGCCACCGCCGTCGCTGAGACGCTCCCCTGCTCCATCTCCTTCATCGTTCCAGCAGACCTCCAACCATTTACGCTCCCCAGTGAGGTTTAATGCCCCGTTGCCTAACACTCCACAGCACAGAGCACAAACAGTCGGAGGCTTGCGCTCACCGACGAACGGGCAGCTGCAGCGGACGCCGTCGGACGCGGGTTCTGTGTTCTCATTGTCCAACTTCCCTGCGCCGCCGACGCACGTGAACGGTCCGTCTCCGCCTTCGTCTCCACAGAAGAACACGTTCGGTGCGCCGGGTTCTGCGGGAGGGCGTCCGCCTTCTCCTACGAAGCCTCAAGTTCAATTCCAGCAGCAGCAGGTGCCGTCCTCCCCTGCAAAGGCACAGTTCCAGCAACCGTCTTCGCCGAGCAAGCCATGGCAGTCGTCAATATCTACCTCGCCCACTAGGCAGCAGGTCCAGCAGCCGCCCTCGCCTACGAAGCCTTGGAAATTCACAACCAGGTCCTTAGCCAGGCAGCCGCAGCCGCAGCCTACCCAGCAGCCACCGTCTCCTACGAAGCCGTGGCAGTCGACGATCTCGTCGCCGGCAAGGCAGCAGCAGCCATTCCAGCGTCCGCCGTCCCCTTCCAAGCAGTCACAGTCGCAGTTCCCGTCTGGGCGGTCGCACTCGCCCGTGCGCTTCCAGCCGCCGACCCCGATGTCGAGCCAGTCGTCGCAGGGCACACCGAGGACACCGAAGATCTCGTTCCCTGCGAGCGCGGACGGGGATAGCGACGAGGACGATGGGATGGGGCCTGTCATAAACATCTCTGGTACTGGAGATAACGGATCCGGCTCAAGAGGGAGGCCACCGACTCTCCCGAAGATATCATTCGGGGATTATGATGATGGTGGTAACGACAACGGGATACCTGTGATCAACATCGGAGGAGAGGACGCCGGACCGTCCATACCTCAAATCTCACTCCCTGGCGAACCGTCCTCCCCAAGGAAGAACCAGCCCCAGACGCGGAAGATCCAGGAGACGCTGTCGAACCCGCGCGTAGAGGCTGCGAAACGGAGCGGGCTAGTCTGCGGCGGATGTGGGGGGCCGATTATTGGGCGGATCGTGAGCGCGATGGACATGCGGTGGCATCCAGGTTGCTTCAGGTGTTGCGTGTGCGACGAGCTGCTGGAGAACTTGAGTTCATACGCTCATGATGGGCGGCCGTATTGTCATCTGGACTACCACGAGGTGCGTGTTTCCTCCTGTTCCGTCATGCATGTGATATTGCTGTGCTGACATCGAATGGGCTTGCAGCATTTTGCGCCGAGGTGCTACCACTGCGAGACAGCGATCGTCGACGAGCGTTTCATCACCCTTGACGATCCAGAGCTCGGCAAGCGCACGTACCACGAACAGCACTTCTTCTGCGCTGAGTGCGGTGATCCGTTCCTCCCACCATCGGCTCCGGGGGCCCCGTCTCGGACGTTTGCTGGGGACGGAGCCTTCACAGCGAGTGCTGAGGACGACGTCGGTTTCACGGTGTATAAAGGCCACCCATATTGCGAAGCGTGTCATGTGCGCCTGCGAATGCCGAAGTGCAAGAAGTGCAAGAGGAGCATTCGGGATGGGATGCAGGCTGTGGAGGCGCTGGGCGGGAAGTGGTGTTGGGAGTGCTTCACCTGCGCTGTGAGTCCTTTTCATCGACAATTTGTGTAGCGATGAGATGTGAAGCTGATTATCTGCCTCCTTTTCGTTGAAACAGAGCTGCGATAAGCCATTCGAAAACCCGGCGTTCTTCCAGCGGGATGGCAAGCCGTTTTGCGAACATTGTTTCAGTATCATGATCAGGAACGAGATCTAGCGTGGAGCTTATCTCGGAATCGGTGACGTGCGGGATTGTAACTTCTACGCTATCTATCCTCCTCAGCTCCGTCCGCCTTCCTTTCTCATGTCCGTCTCAGATACTCGGGACATCATCAGGACTAATGCATGAAACAACCACGTTAAAGTTCCGATATTATGATACCTCGATACTCCTGCTGCTGACGTCCGTTACACTGCATACCGCTTCCTTTCTTGCCTTCACTGTGCGTCCAATGATCTCTCACCGTTTGCCTCTCTGCTCTTCCCTCTCTTCCGAAAGTGTATATCCACAATGTTGTGCCTCTGTGACATACATACGTATATCCCTGTACACGAAGTCCTGATGTCATAATTATCAGGCGAGTATCGTAGCCCACTTGCCCTCTCCAGTTCAGCTTGGGTTCAACCAGGTATCCTTACTTTGGTCTACCGCTTGATGTAGGGCTCCTTGTTTGATTTGAAAGTGGCTTTTCACAGTGTCCTGACCTGATACATCCGACGCCAGCAGCATCCTTGACGCTCAATACACCGTCGGGTCTCGCCTGTCCCTAAGCCGCCGTCCGGGATTTCCAGACCGGCAAGTGCCGAGACAGGGTCAGGTTCCTGCGCTTCAGGTAGACACGAACAACCACTTCATGCCTGCCACGCAAATGATCTCGGAACATTGACACGTCGTCGCATCAGCATAGCCGCCAATCCACCGCCCCAGAACGTGTATCCCAGTCTGTGGCACGGAAGACTCGGATACCCTGAGCGGCCATTCACCACATGCCCTTCAAGTTGAACTTACGCGCCGGCACATGGCCAGAGGGTACGGAAGTGTAAGCACGAACCGTTTTCTGTGACATAAGACCGAGTTTCTCAACAGCTTTGACGGTGTTCCTAAAGCCAACTCCCACCACCAAGCGCATCGCGAGCTAGCCTGCTCACCACGACAACAAGCCAATTTGAAAACAAGCCAAAGCATTCCATCGCTCGCTCTATGAAAAGCTGAAGGGAGGTTGCAAGTCATTTGTGCGACTCCGAACAGCAGGATTCCTGGCAGTGAACGCATGTCGCAGCCCTGACCATCAAGGCAAGCAGCTTGTCTCACTGCTTGCACGGTGGTTATTTCGGCCCCGGTGTACTGGACGCATGCACCGGTGCCCTGCGCTGCGCTTCTGAGAAGCGGCCGCAACTTCTGCTGTTCGGTTATCCTGACATGTTCCCGCGGAAGACGCAGAACCGCCTCTGGCATGCCTTGACGGGCTGCTCCTTTTCCACATGAAGCGGTAATTGAGGATCGGAAAGATACACCCGCATCATCGTGAGTTCCTGTTTCCTCGCGTTCACACTGCAGTCGTCAGGATATAGTCACCTTCTGAGCGCTCTCCTAGACACCCGGCAGGCAAAATTCGTATGCTCTGAGTCCACCATCGCGCATACATGTCCGTGTTCTGCTTGCGCTAGCTTGGCCGCCCCATCAGGTCCCATAGCGAGCGCAGGATCGACACACACCTTCCAGCTGTACTTAAAGCGGCAAATCGCATTGCACAAAGCGACGTACCCCCTTGTTACCTTTGCAGATAGTTCCCGCTCTTCTCCTTTGCACACCGACTGCCTACGCTAGCATCCCATGTCTGTCTCTTCCAGCGATAGCGATTCCAAGACACGGGTCCATGAGGATCCTTTAGCCGGGTTCGATTGCGACACTCTTTTCACGCTGGGCCTAGGCAGACGTCCATGCTGCTCCCGATAACGAGTCTGCGTGAATGTCCTGACTATATATGACGCCAGGAGAGAAGGCCTCCGGGTCCGAGCGGGCGTTGTAGAGGCTCAGGTACGATCTCCAGCCCAGTTTCCTACGCTGTATGGCTTTGAGACACCGTGTGCCTTCCACCCTGCCAAACGTCAATCCAAGGAGCGATGATAAACGCGGATAGAATCTGACACACGGCCCACCGAACAGCATGATCGAGACCAGCTTTTCAGTACGTCCGCAACGAGATGCAAGTGGATGAGCAGGTTGAAAGGCCGACTTTGCAGGCCCGATATAGTTCTTGTCGTCTTCCGTGGTGGTAGGCATGGGGAAACTGTGAAGCTGCAGCGTCATATGTGTTCAGCCTGAATTCGCAGGCTCACCATAGAAGTACGCAGCGTGGGGACTGCATGGCTGGCGATCGACGGTGTGCCCGCCGCATGTGCCCACAAGCTGACGTCAATTAGGTTCAGCATGGGCATGCACCGAAACAAGGATATTACGATATGTACAGTATGATGCGAAGACCACTGCGACGCTGATCGGAAGACCGGAGGTGCTGAACTGCAGACAGAGAGGCATAGCACCAGCCCCTAAGGGTGCATGCGGTCAGAGCGACGATGGCCGGGAGCCCCAATGAGCAGCTCTAGCACTGTGAGGTCTCGTGAAGGGCCGATACTGGCACTGGATTCATCGCAAGGACTTCGAAACTACCCAGACAAAGAGACGCCCGTATTCACTAGTACTTAATTCTGTCCACGATGGACGTACTGGCATGTGCGGCTTGCCCTGGATCTCTCTCTTCACATCCCTGCTTCATCTATCAGCATCCCTCGCCGTCTTTTGAGCATCATCAGCTGCACACATCACTTACTGCTATCTTAGCTGCGGAGGACGTGATCGGGAGCCGAGGTCTTTGCTCTTGCTGTCAAACCTCCCTGCGCTGCCGACGCACTCCAACGCCCCACCTACGCCTTTGTCGCCGAGAAGAACGCGTTCGGTGTGCTTGGTCCAGGGGGACGAGACCGCCGTCTCCCACGAAGGCTCTGCCCCAGTCACGGTTCCAGCAACTACCATCCCGTGGCAAGTCCCAGATTCAGCAGCTAGCTCAAGCCTCGCTACCGAACTCATCGCAGTCGTCGATACTAGGCAGCACTTCGGATAATTGAGTTTCTCTGCGGAGTCGTGGCGATCGATGATATCGTTAGCGAAGCAGCAGCGGCAGCAGCCGTGGCGGTCACTGTGTCTCCCGTGTAGCAATTGTAGGCGCACTTTTCGTCTGCACCGTCGCACTCGCCTATGCGCTTCTGCCCTCCTACCTCGTTGTCATTGCCGCAGTTGCAAGGCACAACAAGGATCGTGAGTACTTCGTTCTCTGGGAGCGCGGATGCGGATAGCGACGAGGCTGGGGCGGGCCTGGAATCAGGATTATCGGCCTCGGAGGACCTGGCTTCGCGTCAAGAGGGAGAACCAGTCTCAGACGCTGTCCAACCCGCGCATAGAGGCTGCGAAGCGGATCAGGCTAGTCTGCGGCGGATGCGGGGGCCACGATCGTTTGGTGGATTGTCAACGCGATGGACATGCGGTGGCACCCGGGCTGCTTCAGGTGCTGCGTGTGCGACGTGCTGCTGCTACCGCGAGGTGCGCGCTTCATTCTTCTCCACCTTGCGTGTATCGTTAGTTTTGCCTATCCCGAGTGGGCTTGAGGTATTCTGGCCCGACGTGCTACCACTGCGAGACTAGTCGATCGTGAATGAGCGCTCCATCCCGGGCCTCCCGCCATCTGGCCCGGAGGCTCCGTCGCCAACGTTTACTGGAGATGAGGCCTTCCCGGCGAGTGCGGAAGACGACGTCGGTTTCGCGGTGTATGAACGCTACCCGAATTGCGAAGCGTGTCATGTGCTCCTGTGGATTCCGAAGTGCAAGAAGTGCAAGAGGAGTTCCGGGATGGAATGCAGACTGTGGGCGGGGAGTGGTATTGACAGTGTTGCACTTGCGCGGTGATGTAAGGTGGTTACAACGCACCAGCCGAAGCCGTTACGCAACAGGCAGGATAAACGAGACTCTATGTTTTCGCCGCCCACCACCGGGTATATGTGTACATCGCGGGGCTCGATCGTGCTAAGGGCGACCGCCCCCCTCACAGGTGAGTGGTGTCCGTCGACAGACTCAACCGAACTCATTGATTGTTGACTACGCTCTGTTGGAATAGAGCTGAGGTAGATTCCAAAACCCAGCGGTCTTCCAGTGGGATAGCGAGCCGTTCGTTGAACACTGTTCCGGTATGACGATCAGGAACGGGATGTAGCGTGCAGCCTGTCTCTACATCCACGGGCTGTGACTTCTTTGCTTTTGATCTTCCTCAGTTCCGTTCACCTTCTTTCCCCGATATTTGTCTTAGAGACTCCGGACATGAACCCAACGAGGCCAATGCTCGTCACGGCCAAGTTGAAGTTGTCGTATCAAGATACCTCGATGAACGCGCCACTGACGTCTGTTGCGTTATCTTGCTGCGTACCGCTTACCCTCTCGCTTTGGCTATACGTCTCATGCTCTCTCATGGTCCGCTTCTCTGTTCGTCCCTCTCTCCTTTCGGAGGTGTCTATCCACTGGAACGGTGGAATTGTTCAAAATCCTCAATGTGCCTCTGTCGCATCCATTCTATACATGTATCCTTGTGCACGAAATCCTCGTACACGAAGACCTGATGCAATCATTTAGATTCACAAAGTGAGTCTAGCGTACCCCGGGTGTTTTAGTTTCAAGTTACGTGCGTCTCATGCAGGTCTACTCCAAATGATGTCCTGCTGTGTCCTCGCCTGAGATCATACTGGGCCAGATCACAGCTTCAAGCCCCTTGTCTTTCTGATCCAAGCCCAAGCCTTAGCATGAGTTGCGACGCTCGACACAATTCGGCGCGATATCCAGACCGGCAAGTGCCGAGACTACTGTAGCGTCGACGCCTTGGGCGTCTAGTTGACACGAAGAACCACCGCATGTCCGTCACGCAACTGAATTCGGGACACCATTGACTCGAGCATATGCGCGGATCTACTGTGCCGGGTCATGCAGCTCGGGGCTGACGACAGACTGATGGTTTGTGCCGCCCTCAGGCTCACCACATGCGCAATGCGGCACTTTGATCCGAGTCAAAGAGCCCCTCAGAACTGTAAGCACCGTAACCGATTCTATGACCTGAAACCGACCTCAATCCGCTTAGTGCATCGCATGGAAAGGGAGCCGGCCAACTCTCCATGTTG